ATTTACATCCATTTGTCGTACATGCATTGAGGCTCGGTTCATCATTCTAACAAAGCATTGTAGTTTGCATGCTTCATTGAATACGTGTTTAAACCACATGCTATCAAGTTGTTTCAAATGGCATAATTAGTAGCCAAGTCTATTAGTTGCATCATTGTATCTGTTGCATTAATCATATTGCATTAGTTAGGGGCATGCATGTTTTCTAACCCTTTTGATTCTTTTGGCTTGCCTTGAAGTACGAGGTGAGCATTTTTATGCTTTAGCATATTGTATGAGTGTGATTGTTGCCATGTCTAGCATGCTTACCGTGAGGCTAAGTGCTTAAGTGCTATATTTGCTTGAATGCCTGTGGATGAAGGCTAATTACTTGAATTGCAATAATTTGAGTAATGTACATATGTGATCACTTTTTCAAGTGGTACATATTCGAAACAATTTTCAAAAAACAAACATGAATCAAAGTGTTCCAACTTTTGCAAATTAGTCTACACTTGTGTGCAACACATAGTAATGTTAGCTTAATAACTGAAACAAGAGCATGTAATGTAAATAAGAATCACATCATGATTACTAGAGGCCGATCTTTGATCAGGTGAGTGGGGGTGCTCAATTCATGACCTTCCCCTCTCGTACCTAAGTTCCCGAGCCAAGACGCTTTGGTGATGACGGACACGTGGCCTTTGGCACGAGTCATGGGTTTCCTAAATTTTCCAAAATATTTAGGTGGCGACTCTATAATCTGGCAAAACAGTCCATTTTTGGCATTTTGATTCAAAATTTATTTTCCAAAAAATTTGCCAGATTTGGACTCTTTTGTGTTTATTTATTTCACATTACACTTGTGAGATCATATTCAGAACCACGAGAGTCTGAACTGTAGGGCTATCGTATCCGAAAGGAGCACGAAAAGTCGAGCTACAGCCTTATATTGAGTTTTGGCTGCTAAAACCATTTAGTCGCCTAATAGAAAATAAAAAATTATTTTTTATCTTTGGCAACCAAATGTTTGGTCGCCAAAAACTTATTTTCAGCGACAAAATTTTTTTAGTCGTCGTATATTAAGTTTTGGCTACTAAAACCATTTAGTCGCTGAATGGAAAATAAATTTTTTTTTCTCTGGCGACCAAAAGTTTGGGTTTGGGCGCCAAAAACTTATTTTCAATGATAAAAAGAAATTTTAGTCGTCAAAAAACTAAAATATTTGGAGGGAGATATATCAAATTTTTGAGGGATTTACAAAATTAATTAGCGACTAAAAATTTTCAGTCGCTAATGGCGTAATATATATATAAATATATATTTGGTTTCCAAACCACAAACCAGCGCCTCTATCTCTCTCTCTCTCCTCCTCTGCCTCTCCCTCTTCGCTGCTTCTCTCATTTAGATCGAGGCTTGATTCTAAGTTCAAGGAGAGTAACCAGAAGGGTCCATTGTGGGATAAAGTCTCTAGGTACACTTTTACCCTATCTTCAGCTCTCTCTCTCTCTCTCTGGGTTCAAGTCATCTCATGAGGTTGAAGTTGAACACTACTAAACTATCAATTTTTTACATTTGATTGTCAGTCCTTGTCCTCTCAAACTCACAAAACAAGAGAACTGAATTTAGGTATTTGAACATGTTCCTTGATTCTGCTGAACACATTTATGCACAACTATATATATTTGTCTCTATACTTATGTATATAGAACAGAGACCTCTACTCAATTGTCCATATATACTTATTCAAATCGAAAATCTAGACCCTATTTTGTGATTTTGAAAATAGGGTAATCACTGGCCTACTACCACACCACTGTTAGCCACCGTTGTTCTTGCCAGGTATTTCCTCTTTCCTTTATGTTTCAATTTGAAAACTTTTACTTCTTATCAATATTTTTTTCTTCTCTTATTAGACCCATTTTGCATGTGTGTCTGCTTTTTTGTTTTATTTAATCAATTGTGATTTTTTTATATGATTTTACATTAATATTCGTGGGCATTTTTTATTGATGGGTTTGTTTGGATTGAATGCTTTTAACAACAATATTAATGAGCTTTGAGGTAAATTTTTTTGAGAATGGAAGTCTCTTAATGAATGTAGCGATTAGGATTGAACTGTTGTTAACAATAGCGCATAAACTTTTGTAGATAATGTGCTTGTCAAATTGCCAACAAGAGTGTTCTTTGTCAAGTAGGGCGTACAGAGCTGGTTTTAATAGGCAGTATTCTTGCATTCAATCTCACAGTTATAATCTAATGCTGCATGACACATCTTAATTTCAAGAGAGATCAGTACATAGAGTGTCCAAACAATATACAATACTTAATTTAAGATTAAAGAATATTAATTCTAATTGTGGATATGCTTTTAAGGTATTGATAACGATTTTCAAGTATCTGAGGAGTTTTGGTATCAATATGGGTAAACACGGATATAGTGATTCCCTTACAGAATTATCTGTGGTTCATAAGCTTCCATCATTGCTAAATGCATGTAAGAAAAGCTTATGATGGTTTTTTTAAGGTATGAATTGCTTATTGAAACCTCTTATTTCCTTGACTTTTTTTTTTAAATGAATTTCTTGATAAATTATCTTGTCAAGAAGTTGCTTGATTCATTAATTCTTTAATGATTTCTAGTTTCAATCACCAAACAGGAGCTGAAGATGTGCACTTTGCCTCTATATCTTCTCTTCTTGCACCTGAAGATGATGCTAAAGACAACCACGAAAGTGATGAGTATGAAAGTATAGATGATAGTGAAGACAACCACAAAAGAGATGAGTATTAAAATATTGGTGACTGTGGACAATTATCTCAAAATTCTTAATCAAGAAAGGGTGCTTCTAATGGTGGTAACTTGGAGTGTTCTTCTTCTGGGGATGATCCCACAGTTTTGGAAATGATTATTGTCAAAGATGTCAAAAGTGGGGCTAAGGTTAGTGTTGGGTATACCTCCTTATTGGAGTATGGGACCCAATTGATTTATTAAAATATTTAGTTTGGTTTGGTGTTGGTTATAATATATTTTAATATATTATACCTAACTTTTGAAGGCCCAATGGGTATTTTATAATCAGTTTGGTAATAGCTAGGGTTTTGATAAAAAAAAAACTCTAAATTCAACAATATATAAATATTATCTTTGTTTTTTTCCCGGAGGGGAGTGACAACAGCAAATTCTTTTCAGTGAGAGTGCTTGGTGTATAACTCAATTTGGTGGGTTTCAATTGGTGTTGATTGTTGCTATGTATTTGACTTGGTCAAATTCAAGAATTTGTCCCTTCGTTGCTGCTCTGCTTTGAAGCGTCTGGTTCAGTGTTTGGTGTTGATTTGGATATATTATTTTGGGTCTTCTACAACTCTGTTTCGAAGAAAATTTATTCGTCTATTTGGTGAGGTCTTTCTTCTTGTTTATTTGTGATTATTTGGAATTCACCTAAGGGTGGTTTGTGAGACCATTTGTGTCTCGTTTGTAATCGTTTAGAAACTCTTTGGTTGATAGTGGAATCAGATTTCGATCTCGTGGACGTACCTCACATTGAGAGAACTACGTAAAATTCTTGTGTCGTTATTGATTTATTTTTTCTGCATTAGTTTTTATTCCCATTGCTTGATTTACTTGTGGGAAATCATATATTTTCCCTAACAACTAGTATAAGAGCTTACGATTTATTTGAGTTTATTTATTTGTGTAAATTAATGGAGGGGAATGTGGGTCGTATGTCTAGCTTCAATTGAAGTAATTGAGTAACATGAAAAACTAAAATGGTGGACCTATTAGTTTGTAAAGATTTGTATGGGCCTATTGAGGGTGACAATGGCAAACCTAAGGGTATGCAAGATGATACATGGAAGAGGTTTAATTGCAAAGCCGTTGGTGTTATCCGTAATGGATTGATGATAGTGTGTTTCATCATGTTGCTACTGAAACTTCAGCACATAATTTATGAAAAAAATTAGAAGGCCTTTATAATAGGAAGTCAGCCACAAATAAAGTTTTTCTGTTTCGTAAGTTGGTTAATTTAAAATATAAAGAGGGTAGCCCTATTCCGGAACATTTAAATGAAATAAAGAGTATTGTTAACCAACTTGCTTTTATGAAAATTATTTTTGATGGTGAGTTGCAGGCTTTGCTGCTACTTAGTTTTTTGTCCGAAAGTTGGGAGACTTTGGTTGTGACAGTTAGTAATTCGGCACCCGATGGAGTTGTCATAATGAGCCAAGTCACTAGTAGCTTGTTGAATGAAGAAACTAGAAGAAAATCAACGGGTTCCTCTTATTCAGAAGCATTTGTTGTGAGAGGCTGAAGCAAAACAAGGGGGTGGAGTAAGACTCCTCATGGTCGTGATCAAAGCTGTGAAAAATCAAGAGATGGTTCTTTTTCAAAAGAAAGACATTGAGTGCTATTACTGCCATGAAAAAGGTTACATGAAGCGGGAATGTCGAATGCTCAAGTACAAGGAGAAAAGACGTGACAAAAGTGTGGATAAGAAGCAAGAAGACACAGCCACAGCCACTACAAGAAAACAGAGTTTTTACGGCTTCACATCAACAACATACAGTAAATGCAAATTGTGGTTTCTCACTTTACGACTTGCTTTTTTTGCATGTCGTAAATAATTTCTCAACCATGACGTGCGCATTGCATAGTTCATGAATGCTAATAACTACGATTTTTTTACGGCTTACAACATTAGTCGTAAATAATAAAATTTTCTATGACGTGCATATGAGATGTCGTTAATACATTAACTATACACGACACGCGTACACTAACTGTTAAAAATATTGAACATTTCACGACGCACAAAAAGCCGGTCGTTAAAAATTATACTTTCCACGATGCACAAAAAGTCAGTCGTTTAAAATATTGCACTTTCCCCGACATGCAATTGCTGCTGTGAAAGGTACGACAAAAGAAAAAAGTAATGCCAAAATAAAAAATTTGAGCGCCAAACACTAAAAAATTAAAAAAAAAAATTAAAATTAAAAGCCCTAACTCTTCGGCCCCCAACATCAATCTAAAAAAAAAAAAAAACCAACCTCTAGCTTTCGTTCCATATACTTGTATCTCTACACTGCCTCTCTCTTCATCCCTTTACTCTCTAATCCTCTGTCTCTTCTCTACTCCACAACTTTCCACTATTGCCATTGCGCCACCGTGACCACTAGTGAGCCACCTGCATCATCTTCACCTACGTACTTCTGCTACCTGGGCTGCTACTTTTGCCAAAGTTGAAACCCCATCAGGTATCTTACAATCTTCATCTCCCCCCCCCCCTCTCTCTCTCTCTCTCAAACAATCTGCCTCTCAATTTCAATCTCTTTCCGTCTATCTTACCCAATTTCAAAACCCTAACATCGTCTAGCTTATTCTAATGATGGGTCAGATTCCACCATTTTGAAGCTTCTTTTTTTTTACCTCAACAACTGTGAATTTGTTGAAATGACAGTTCTTTGCTTGTAATGTTGTCTCTAGAGAGTGCTCTGCTGTATGGAAGTGTTCAATTAGGGTTTGTTTGGTGTAACTGTCGTTGTCGGGATGACTATCTGAGAAATCTGGGGTTCGTGAAAGTTGTTTGATTGATGTGTAGATATGGTTGTTATGGCTTCGCATTTCAAGTGGCACTGGAATTTCAATTATTATGATGATTTTTGATGTTGCTGAGTGAGTTTCAATCCAATTTAAATGCAAGATAGATTTTTTATGGAAATGGAAGCGAAGTTGATTGAATTTGATTGAGTTTGAGTTCATTTTGACTCTCATATTTATATCAATTGGGACTTGAGTTTGGTTCTGGTTATCGATTAGGAGGGTTTAGTGAGGTTTTTCATTTCGATTTTATAGAAGCTTGAAGTGTTATTGTGCAGTGAAATAGGAAGGTGGAGATGCCTCATTCTCCAGTGATGAGGTGTTCCCCTGTGAGGGAGATCCGAGGGGATAATCACAGAAGAGGGCGCAGTCTCGAGGGCGGGATACTCCTTAGGGAGAAAAATGACGATCTTGCTCTGTTCAATGAGATGGAGACCAGAGAAAGAGACAGTTTCTTACTTCCATCAAATGATGATTTTGAAGATACATTCAGTAAGTTTCCATTCTATTGAAATTGGGTTTTGTGGGTTTCTTCTATTAGTAAGTATGGAATTTAGAGTTTTGTTGTTTCCTCTGGTTTAGGGGCTAGGGTTCAGTGTTAAAAGCCTAGTCTTTTAAATTTGAGGTTATAGTTTCGTTCATGAGGTTAGCTACTTTGTGCAAATATTTTAGGTTTGTACCCAATTTACCCACCCAATGGGGCTAAGATGGGTGTATTTTGTTGTGCTTATTTCCTATGGCTTTTGATTTGCTTTAAACAACCATGAAATTGAGATACTTATCAGATTACAAGCTTGGAATGAATCACAAAACAAGAAAGGAAGACAAGGTTCAATATCACTTCTCTCCTCATATTATGTATATATATTTATTTCTTCATAAACATATCTTTATAGCAATTTTATTAATTTCTTTATGCTTATTGCATTGGTGGTGCTGGGTTTGTGGAATCCTAATGAAATGATGCAGTCTATCTTGGTATGTTCCAATTAATATAGTTCATTTATTTCTTAATTATTTCTAGGAATATGGTCACTCAGTGGCTCTTATTTTATTTTTGGTGTTGGTAATTCAGGTGCCTATGATGATGAAGAAGCTGCTGCTTATGCTTATTTATGATTTGGCTGCATTGAAATATTGGGGTCCATAAACCATTCTCAACTTTCCGGTGATTAATATTCATTGCATTTAGAGAGTTTTTTTGATTTTATTTTTTGGCCTATAATTTCTTCACCTATTCTATTAAGATTAACAAATTAAGTGATAAGCATTAATAAATATAGTTACCAACTTACCAAAAAAAACTGATAGAAATGGAGGGTATATCTAGAGATGAATTTATTGGATCACTGAGAAGGTAAACTTCATTACTAATTAAAAGCTATAGGAAAGAAAAGTAATAAACTATATATTTTGAATTAAGGTAAATTTTTGTGTTGATCCTGCAGGAAAAGCAGTGCTTTTTCTCGAGGAGTGTCAAAATATAGAGGAGTTGCAAGGTAACAAAAAGAATTGCATATTATTTGTTAATTACTTGTTTATTTGTCTATCATTGAAAAAACAGTTCTTTGATAATTTTCCTTTTTTTTTTTTTGCGTGTGTGTGTGTGGTCGTTATCAACAGAAAGCTAAACCTATTTTTTTCCAATAATACTATAAGTCTCCTAATCAAATGCATGATATGATTCAACACACAACTTGTTTCTTTTTAATATTTCTTCAAATTTTATGAACACAAATTTTAATTATTGACTTTGAGATGCAAGTAAAGGATTGATTGTCGATTTAATGTTAATTTATTTATAATTTAAATTTTGGCATTTTTGCCACTATTATAATCCATATATAGCTCAAGTTGCCTATTTTCTTATCACAAATTCAAGATGGCAAATGTGTTGTTCTTTTTACTTATTGTATTTTTATGTCAATAAGCAGACATCATCATAATGGAAGATGGGAAGCAAGGATTGGCATACTTTTTGGCAACAAATACCTCTATCTTGGGACATATGATAATTCCTATTATTATTATTTGATGATGATGATAAATGATGATGAAACTCCTTCACCTTCCAAAAACCCTGAACAACTTTGGACCTTCGAAAAACTTTAATGAACTTCGACCCTTTCTGGCGGTAATGACTTTGGCTCTTGGGCAAGGCCTTTATCTTTCTCTTTTACAAATGGCTACATGTCAAAGACCAACAGGTGCCATGTGTTGAATGAATTATTAATGTGATTTATATCTAAGGTACAAACACAAATGCATTGACAATTTTATATTTAAATTTTGAGCATTGCTACTCAAGAAAAAAAATTAGATTCATTTTTTAAGTTCAATGATGTGGCAATTAATTAGGATATTAAATGTTACACTTTATCTCATATTTTCTCTAATTATTAACCAATTATATTACTTATATATCATTGGGTTTGGCCTTTTGGTGATACAAAACATTATTCGCATCCAATGCTTGTTATATGCCTTCAAGAAAATTGCACTATCATTCCTTTTATTCTCTCTCTCTCTCTCTCTCTCTCTCTCTCTTAACTTTTTTAAGAAGCAATTTTATCTATCAAGCAACTTTAATAAATGATAAATGACTAATATCAGTTTTTCGAGTTCTCTCGTTTATTTTTTTCTTTTGACATGCATGACTAATATCAGTTTGGCTTGACTTTTTAAGTGGAATGGTTAATATAATTTATTCTTGGCTAACTTATGCACACGCCTTTTGAATGCTTTTTCTTTTCTTTTTTTTGTTCATGTAAGAACACTTGCATGATAGTTTCTTTGCTTGGGTTTCAGTTGTATAAGAGTTCAGACATCAACTTCACCTTCTTCCCTACATGCCAATAAAAAGGAAAAAAATTATGAAACCAAACAATTGATTTTGTATAAAGTGTCTTTTCTTTCACTGAAGGATTAAAATTTTTCTATGAAATGAGCGTGGTATTTTACTTTTGTCTTGCTGCTTATGCCAGAATTCTAAGGACTGGTAGCAAATAACAGTTGATGAATTTAATGTGATTACAAAAAAGGCTAGTGTTCAAGGTTTTCTCTAATAATTATCATCACATGGGTATTTAAGGTTTTCTCTGACAACTATCATCACATGGAATGGTTAACTTGAAACTAAAATGAATATGACACTGAAATTTGATTTGAGCTCAATTCCATATTTTATAAAAGTGCCCCCATTCTTTAGTAATAGCTTGTGATTGAATTAGTTATTAGTGAAAAATTAGAGAAGAAGAAAAAGATTAGCTTAGGGTTATTTCTATAGTTCCTTATCTTATGTATTTGTTACTAAGTACTTAGGTAGAATTACATTACATTGTCCCAAAAAGCGCCTAAAGCTACTAAAATTTACCTAAATTTCTTCTATAATGGATTGAAAGTTTCTTTTTAAACTTGTAAACAATATAGACTCTAATTTGACTTGGACTTTTTATTTTGAAACTTACAATGGTAATGGATAAAACCTATACAAACTTAAACCTCATACATAGAGATCCTTTAACATAATCATGCAAGTCCTAAGTAGGTGTTGCGTTGAAGTAGATTAATTTCACCTCTTTCTCTTTTTAAATTTAATTTTTCTCTTGAGTTTTTTATGGCCTGGATTTAGTAGTAAATTATATTTTCTTTGTACAAACTTAATGGTTTGTTTGAAGATTCTTACTCATTTCCCTCTAGAAACATTGCAACAAAAGAGGTAACTTCATTAGAGGTAACTTTATTTGAGGTATGAAAAAAAAAAGGTTTTTCTTTGTGTGGATATACGTTGAGACTATTGAGATCTTGAATTTTTGCTAATTTTTCGTTATGACATTACTTTTATGGGGCCATTGAATTATCTTGTTAATTTTGGAAATATTTTGTTGATGTTTTAAAATTTCTCGATCATTTCTTAATACCTCAAGAAATATTTTTGCCCTTGAGTCGATTTTTGTACTTATGTGAAGTTTCCTTTGTCATGCAGACAAGAAATGCAACAGGGTTAGTTACTCCAACTATCGTCGCGGGTTTAGGTGACATACATTGGGCACCTTCGTCCCTATGATAGGAGCAAGTAGATTTGCTACTGATGCTGCTGCAACTGCTATAGGAACTGTTATCAGTAGTTTTAGATAATCTCTTAATAGTTGTCGATATGTTTAGAAAGTTAGATATGCATAGTTTTGGATGGTTTAAACTTTTTGTACAATTTAAGAACTTAAGGATATAGTTTTCGAGTGTTTGGAATGTATAGACAATTGTTAAATGTTAATAATTTATGGATATAGTTTCTTTTGATGTTTTAAACAATATTTTGATGGTTGATTGATATTTTGTGATGCTTGTTTGTAATATTTGTTAGATTGTACAAAATTGGTTAAATACAACTTACTGAATTTTAAAATAAAAATAAAAAACTGCATATTCTACAGCAGGCATAATAAGTCGTTGTATTACATATTTTACGACTCGCAATCAGCATTGTTATTTGTCTCACCAATTAACGACATGCAAAAGTAGTCATAGAAAAAGTAACAACGATGCACAAAATTCGCAGTTAAATAGTTTTTAACGGCGTACTATAGCATGTCGTAGAATGAGTAACAACGACGCACAAAAATTGTTGTTAAATAGTTTTTAACGGCGTACGAAGCATGTCGTTGAAAATGAATGACTTTCCATGACTGATCATAATATGACGCGCGCTGCACGTCGTAGAAGAGTTTTTACGGCATTCATTGCGCGTCGTAAAAATCCTTTTTTTGTTGTAATGAACGGCGGTTACTACCGATGATCTCATGGTCGTTTGTGAAAATGATTGTATCAATTTTGTGGGCCAAGAGAGCAATTAGATAATTGATTCTGGTGCTTCTTTTTATGTGACTTCTCGAGTTGATTTCTTCACTACCTACACCAAAGGAGATTATGGTTCTGTTTGAATGGGTAATGAAGGTTTGTCCAAGATTATTGGTATGGGTGATGTTTGCTTGGAAACAAATTTTGGCTGTAAGTTGTTGCTTAAAGATGTGAGGCATGTTCCCGACATTCGCCTCAATTTGATCTCTACCAAGAAGCTAGATGATGAAGGTTACAACAACAAATTTGGTGATGGACTATGGAAGCTCATAAATGGTTCTTTGGTGGTGGCTAAGTGTAAGAAGACTCATACACTTTATTCGATGCGAAGAAAAATTTGTAAAGGTGTTGTCAATGCAGTTGAAGATGATACTTCTACTGAATTGTAGCACAAGCAGCTTGGGCACATGAGTGAAAAAGGGCTACAAGTTTTGGTCAAGAAAGAGCTTCCACCTTATTTGAAAGGTACATATCTTAAAACTTGTGTTCATTGTTTAGTGTGTAAACAACATAGAATTTTTTTTCATAAAAATGTTGCTTTTAGAAAAGAAAATGTTTTGGAGTTGATTCATTCGGATGTTTGTGGTCCTTTAAAAGTTAGAACACATAGTGGTGCACTTTATTTTGTTACTTTCATTGATGATTATTCAAGGAAAGTTTGGGCTTTTATACTAAAAACTAAAGATCAAGTTCTAGATGTATTTAAGCATTTTCAAGCCATGGTTGAAAGAGAAACATGACAGAAATTAAAGTGCATCCGATCAGACAATGATGGTGAATACATTGGACCATTTGATGAGTATTGTTGCAGCCAAGGTATTCGGCACCAAAAGACAGTTCAGAAGACTCCTCAACAAAATCGTGTTGCCGAAAGGATGAACTGCACCATTGTGGAAAGAACAAGGTGTTTGCTTTCACAAGCTAAATTACCAAGATCTTTTTGGGGTGAGGCAATGAAGAAAATGGTTGACTTGATCAATTTGTTTTCTTCCTATCCTTTGAATGGTGATATTCCTAAAAGAGTTTGGACCGACAAAGATGTGTCTTATGAGCACTTGAGAGTGTTTGGTTGCCAAGTTTTTGTTCACATTCCAGAGGATGAGAGGTCCAAACTTGATAGTAAGTCAAGTAAATGTATTTTTCTTGGCTATGGACGTGATGAATTCAGGTATAGATTATGGGATTCGGTCGACAAGAAAGTCATTCAAAGCCATGATGTTGTGTTTTTTGAAGACCAAACAATTGAAAACTTTGGCAAAGGTGATCAACCGGAGTCAAAAACTAGTGATCTCATTGTCATTGATCCATCTCTTTCATCTTCAGTTGATGATGAAAATGACGGAGATGTGCAGCCACCTATTAAAGATGTGGAGGATGATACTAATCCTATTGAGCCAGAAATTGAGGAAGAGCATCCAACTTAAGAACCGCCACCACAACTTGAGTTGAGGAAATCTACAAAAGACCGGCAACCGTCGAGAAAGTATCCTCCCAATGAATTTGTGTTGATTTCCGATCAAGGGGAGCTTGAGAGCTACCAAGAAGTAATTGAGTATGCAAAGAAAAAGATTGGAAAAAGGCTATGGAAGAGGAGATGAATTTCTTACTTAAAAATCACATTTATGATTTAGTGAAGTTGCCTAAGGGGAGGAAAATTTTGAAAAATAAGTGAGTTTTCAAATTGAAGAATGATAGCAAGAATCTAAGGTACAAAGTACGTCTTGTTGTGAAAGGCTTTGGGCAAAAGTAAGGTATTGACTTTGATGAGATTTTCTTGCCGGTTGTGAAGATGTCTTCTATTCGAGTTGTACTTGGCATAGCCGCAAGTATGAATCTTGAAGTTGAGTAATTTGATGTGAAGACCACATTTCTTCATGGTGACCTTGAAGAAGAAATTTACATGGAGCAACCAGAGGGTTTTGTAGAGAAAGGAAAAGAGAAATTTGTCTGCAAATTGAAGAAAAGTTTGCATGACCTCAAGAAAGCCCCACGGCAATGGTACAAAAAATTTGACTTTTTCATCATGAATAATGATTTTTCTAAAACCACTTCGGATCATTGTGTGCTTGTGAAAAATTTCCCGGATGGCAAATTTATATTCTTTTGCTTTATGTTTATGAAATGTTAATTGTCGGTCAAGATTCTACCATGATTAACAGGTTGAAATTGGAGTTGAGCAAGTCTTTTGTTTTGAAAGATTTGGGACCAGCAAAGCAAATACTAGGTATGAAAATTATTCGTGATTGCAAAGACGGATTGATTTGGTTGTCTCAAGAAAGCTACATTGAGAAAGTTCTTGAGAGGTTCAACATGGATAAGGCAAAGCCAGTTGGTTGTCCACTTGCGGGTCACTTCAAGCTTAGTTCGTATCAATATCCTACAAGTGAGAAAGACAAGGAAGAGATGCAGAAAATTCCTTATGCTTCAGTGGTTGGTTCTTTGATATACGTCATGGTTTGTACAAGGCCAGATATTGCTCACGCCGTTAGTGTGGTGAGTCGTTTTCTCTCTAATCCA